GGAAAAAGTTTACAGAAGTTTTGAATGAATAAAAGCTTTTATGACATGCAGGGATATGCAACTTTGCTGAATGACAAGTCAAGCGTAAATAAGTTTTAGTTGATGGAACTAGAGATGACAGCTTCTTTTAGCAGTGACCATGATAGTATTTATAGAAAAAAGAAAGAGATGCAACCTTACAACAATGGGAGAGAGGCTCATGCTTGGCAGACAAAGCAGGTCTAACTATGTTTAAATGCACTTTTGGAAGAAAAAGAACATTATTATAAGAACCAGCCAAAAAAATGGCAAGTAGAACCTTGCAATACCCCTAAAGTGACTGGAAATGAGTGATGGCCTTTGAAGATTACTTTATCACTATGGTTGGAAAGAAATGTTTTGATAATCTCAAAATGTTTACCAGATACACCATATGAAGTTAGCTTATGGAGAAAAGCAGCATACTAAACTTTATTGAAAGCTTTTATGTCAAGAGTAAAAGCCCTCATCACCCAATACACTATAGAACCTTTCAGTTAAAGCAGTTAGCAAGTCAGCTGCTTAGTTATTCGACTCAAGATGGGATGTTAGAAATAGTAAACTAAATATAAACATATATGTTTGCTATACATTTATATACTGGCATACTGTATCCTCACATATTTATGCAAACTTTAGTGCAGGGAGAGTTTTTGAAATTAAAACACCATAGGAATAAATATTTTTTAACTGAAGAAGGCTTAACTATAAACCTTCCTACAAAGCAGCAGAACATGGAGCAGCTTGTACTGGATTACATATCATACACACAGCAAAACTTTAATATAAAATATATTCATATATTATTAAATTGAATTATAAAGAATGACTTCACTGATTAATTTGATAAAGCACTAAATATATTTTCACATGAAATGGTGAACTTCTATTAACTAAATGTTTGTATTGCTTTTTATCTAGATTGTCAAAGAAAAGCTAGCTGATTTTTAGCTACATGAAAAAAAGAAGTGATACTTAAGTATATGAAATTAATTTCTTGTACTTTTAAAAGAAATTAAAATCTAATTATCTTTATTTATCAGTTTTGTGTATGACTAATTATATATAAATAACATATATAGTATACAGCTTATATATTGATTCAAAAATGACATTATGTTCCATATCATTTAAATTAAAAATGGCACTATAAAAACTTGTCCAAACCATATAAGTGTAGAGCCATGAAGTTTTGTATGAATGATTTGAAAAGAAATCTATTATTGAAGGGGGAAAAAATCATTTTTAATTTATTTCTTCTCATATTTTTAAATAAGAATAAAGAAAATAAAGGAAATAATAACAAGAAAAAAGTAATAGTAAAATAAAGAAAACAATAAATATGAAATCCCCTATAACATTTTTAAGTTTCGCTTCGACTCAAATTGGTTACCATTGGTAACAAGGTTAAACTTTTTTACTAAATAAACTTTAAAATGCAATAAATATTTGTTTATCATTGTCATATTGCTATTTATAATGTTTTATTCTATTTTTATTGTTCAAAAGTTTTAAATTATCTTATTAAGAATTTAATTTATTTATTTTTTGTTTGTTTTTTTGCCATTTTTATTTTAATTATTTTGTTTGATATTTATATAAAACGTTTTTCATTTTTATTTTGTTACTGTTTTTATTTCAATTATTTTATCTGAAATTTAACTAATATATTCTTTTTGCAATTTTTTTTTTTTAATTATTTCATTTAGAATTTATTCAAAGCATTCTTTTTGCTTTTTTATTTTAATTTAAATAGTAAATAAATATGAATTTTTAAAATCATGCAATTTTATGTTATGTTACATCTCAATTGGTTACACTTTTAAAATATATGTATATTTTTTAAGTGTTTACCAATTGAGACATAATGTGAATCAACACTACATTACACCCAAAATATAAATAAAATATACATTTATTTTAAAAGTAGAACCAATCGAGATATAATGTAACACTAAAAATGTTGTAAAGATTAACTAAAAAAATTATGTCACCTAGCTGTAAATCGGAACTTTATTTATTTTTCCGTGACAAAGTAACCAATTGAGACAAAACTTTTTTACATTAAAAATAAAATAAATATTATTTAAACAAGTAAATAAACACACAAAAAAAACTTTTATTATAAAAAAAATCTTAAATGTTAGTTTGTTCAAACAATGTTAGCAAAATTGACAAAATATGCAAATGATACACAAAATCTTTGTATATCATTTTGTGCTAGAATAAGAGGAAGTACTGAAGGAGTATTATATGAATTATCGTTATATATAAGAAATTCAGAAAGAGAGATAATACTGCTGTGTATTATAAAAATACTACATTTTGGTTGGGCATACATAGCAATACTGTAAGTAGGGCTCATAGTGAGTGATGCAATAGTTTTGTCTTAATTGGTTACTTTGTCACGGAAAAATATATATAATATAAAATTGTTACGTCTTGGTTACATAAAAATTTACGGATATTGGATATGTAGCAGTTGCGTAAAAATGTTGCATCTCATTATGTAAAAATGTTATGATGTGGTTACATATAAATAACTGACATTTATAACCAAACCATAACATAATATTACATCTCAATACATAACCTTATTATAAGGGTGTATATATATATATATATATATATATATATATATATATATATATATATATATATATATATATATATATTATATATATATATATATATATATATATATATATATATATACAGGCTTGGTCCGGAAGCGGGTGCGATCGCACTCGATATTTGACCACGGAAATTATATTTACTTGCGAAAAGCCGGCCAGATTTTTTAGGCGTTTTGAAAACATTTCAAAAACAAGCAAAAAAGCGCAATAAGATAAACTGGACCGATGAGAGACAGTTAAAAAAAAGAAAAATAGCTTTTAACGCAAAACTTTAAGCAAAATAAATACGATTAGAGCAAATATTTTTGAAACATCGCTCTTTTATAATTTTTTTTTTAAAAAAAAAGCGACTTTTTTTGTATATAGTAACAACGTACTAATAACGATTGTTTAATAAAGAAACAAATGTTCTTCAATTTATCAAAGATTATATATAATTTTTATTTATATACTTATGTCTTATTTCCAGTCCTGGAAATAAGAGGTTTGGGGGGGGGGGGTAGAAGAGCTATAGTCCTGGGACACACAATGTTATGGGCCGAGAAATAGTCAAGAGGACCTATCGGTATTTTTAAGTCATTTTTACGCTGTTGCACATAAAAAAGTCCACCAAAATAATGCAGCCCCCGACCCTGTAAGGTCCAACAAGATTAAGCCAATAAAACTAATGCTACATAATTTAATTATAAATAAAAAATGTTTTTTCAGTACCTGTTTTATGCTTCGCGTAGTTTGAAAAGTTTAACATATTTGAAACAATTCTTCTTAGTAAGACGAACAAATGAAATAACTAAATCATTGAGTTACTGTGGAAATTTAATTAGCTAGATAGAAGTTAACTAAAAACGTTAAACTACTTTGTAAGGAGGAAGCAGAACTGCTTAACAATATCGCTGATGATGTTTAGTGAGTGGGCTTTATATTTTTAACTAGTATTTTACAGAAAAAAAAAACTTTAAGTGAAAGTATAACGAGTTTTTAAGAATGGCTGAAGCAAAAATAATTGAAGTTAATAAACCAATTTCTAATACATTACATTCATATAAATACATCCCTTATATATAAAAAATAAGATTATTCTAATTAAATCTATAATATATTACAAAACATTGACAAGTTAAAAAATATAAATTTAAAACATTTATTTTTGTAAAAAAATGTTAGTTTAAAACATTTATAGCTTTATGGATGTGACTCCGAGAATGAGCCATGGTATTAAAATAATTGTTCGTTTGATAGTATATTCTTAAAACAATTGATGCTAGAATTCTCAACAAAAACATAACAAAAACAAAAACAAAAACAAAACAAAAAAAGATTTTGAAAAATAATTCAACAGAATACTCTAGAACAGTCGCTTGAATTCTTTAGTAATTTCAGTTATTTATTAATTGAACCAATAGAATTAGTTGTTCGTAAATTTGGCGGGTTTTTTGTGTTCGCGAATATTCTTTATTTATTTTTCCGCACTAAGATGTTTGACAACATTCAAGTTTAAATAAGTTTCCATGTACGTCCGTAAAACAAAATATTTTAAAATTTACGATAAAATGAACTTATTAATTTGCGGACAAACAAGGAAACATACATAAACTGAAATGTTCTCAAAACGCCTGAAAAATCTGGCCGGCTTTTCGCAAGTAAATATAATTTCCGTGGTCAATTATCGAGTGTGATCGCACCCGCTTCCCGACCAAGCCTGTATATATATATACATATATATCTTATACTGCTGAGTTAGGTGAGCATGATGATGTCATACTCACCTAATGTCAAATAGCCTGCTGCCGGGGGCTTTAGTAAATACATCGACTGACAAATAGCCTGACTCGCCATGGAGTGCTGCTACATCGACTGAGGGTTTGGTATGGGTCAGCAACATTTTCATTCATTATTCTTCGTTTTCTCTCATCGTTTTCTAAAAATGCTCACTTAATTTAGGCTAGCAAAAAAAGTGAGCAATTGCGCATATAAATATGCTATAGTAGATATATATATATATATATATATATATATATATATATATATATATATATATATATGCTTGTATAAAACATACCTAATAAAAATAAAATAAAAATTTGACTCACTTAAGTTGCATTTCTGTGGTTATTTAAAAAAAAAAGATTAATTTTATTTAGTTTCCTCAATTATTTTAAATGCTTTTAAATCAATTATAAACTGTCAACTTAAAATGTAAAGATGATTTTTTTATTTGCAGCATATTTAAGCAATGAAGTATAGAAAGCTTTGAAAAAATAAGAAAACTAAAAAACTAAAGTTAAATAACTAAATTTACTTATTAAAAATTTTCGAAATATTAATTATTTCAGAAGTGCAAAATACCTTTGCATCGAGGTCTAAAGTTTTACATCTTTTCTTTTTGCGAATCGTAACATTTCGCATCCAATCAAAACTGTTTTGATTTTCTTCTTCTATTTCTATTTCTAAGTTCACAATAGAGGGAACTACTTCAATACCATACCGATGTACGATTCTGCCAAGTTCCAAAAGTGTTAAAATAATATTTTTAGTTTGCTTATGTAAAACAAGATCCTCTGAAACAAATAAAGTTGAATCTCTAATACCAATCTTACGACACCATTTTAAAAAATTCTCAGCATTCTCACGAGCAAAAAATGATTTTTTTTTAACTTGATGATGAAAATTAAATTCAAAGGGGGGTAAAACTTCTGGAATGATATATGCTTCATTAGATAAAATCTTGCTTTTTACTTTACTTTCTTTAGAAAGTTTTTGAATTTTTATAGCGAGCATGCATAAGGCTACCCCATCATCTAACATATCTAAAAAGTTATTTACATTTATATCTAAACAAATGTATGTCGACAACCATTCCGCAACATCTTCCATTAATGGAATAAGACTTTTTTCATTTCTTTCATTTATTTGAACCATAAAATAATCTTCATCTTCTAAAGTTGGCATTATTATAGGTGCTTGTCAATAAAAATATCACATTAAAAAAAAATCAAAACAAATATATTTCAAAAATTAAACTTATTTAAATATTCTAGATTTATGATAAAAATTCAAATAAAACAGTTTATGTTAACAATCATGTTAATACTTTACTATCCATAGTTTTCTTTGATTAACAACTGAGCTTTTAATTTTAGATCTAAGATTAATACAAATGGTATTGATTTATGAAAGTTAAAAGCAAAAAAGGCCTGAGCCTGAGACAATATTTTGTTTTTTATTAAAAAATGCTTACTAATTGAAGATTTGATATGCATATGTCTGGTAATAAAAACATTCTATTTAATAGTCATCTTATAATAAATACACTTTTAAATATAAAATTAATAAATCATCATATTTAGAAGATTTAAAGATTATAGTTTTAATAATTTGAGTATTATAGTTTTAAGAGTGACCTAAATTTTAATTTCTTTCTGGAAGTTGGGGTACAGTGGATTAAAGGGCACAGTGAATAAGAGGCGTTTTCTTATATTATAGTTGTTACCATATAATTTTTGACTACCGGTTTTTGGTAGGTAATTTTTGTCTTTAGCTAGCTAAAGTAAGATTTCTTACCGTCTTTATGTTTATTATGGAGATCATAGTTGAAATAATTTCAAAAGTTGAAGTTTTTCATTCAGATTAATGATATTTGTTTCCTTTTAGTTTAGCTTTCCTTTTAACAACATTTATGACCCAAGAAATTAGACTTAAACTTAACTTGTTATGGTGGGACACAGTGAATTGGGGTATAGTGAATAAGTTGATTCACTATACCCCATTAGTGATATTTTTATTTTTTATACTCACTTATCCATTTAATTAATTATTCACCTCCCCAAGGCCGAGAAGGCCACTACAGCTAACGAGGCTGTAGGCTGACAAGGGTTCTTTTTGTAGTTAAAAACCCTGTCTCAACTCTATAACTCTGAAACACGACCCTCTACAAATGAGGTCACTGCTTGGAAAAACAAATTGGGCACGGTAACTTCTCGCTTATGAGGTGAGCGCTCTACCACTACACCACTACCACATACATTACTACATATAGCCTGCTCTCAGAAAGCAGTGCCACTACATCAAATAAGGGTTTGGACTAGGGTAGTAGACTTATATTTTTTGAAAAAGTTATATGTAATAAGGATTAACATTCTGAACATGAGATAGAACATCCTAAGGAATGTTATACCACAACTTCATAATCAAAGCAAATAAATGGTCTGTGTTGGTTGATTTTCTATCAACTAATGGCTGGTCAATGTACTCCCAAAAATTCTTAACAGGATTGAGATCTGCACTCTTTAATGATGATTCAAGAACTTTATTCTTTTTGTCTGGCACAATGTTTTGGATCATGTCGTAAGATCCATTTGTGAGTCATTTTATACTTTGAAAGTTGGCAGCTTTATGTATAAATAAACTCTCAGGTTCATAATACTTTTTATGGGATGAAGGGAATCCACATCGCTACCACTTAAACATCCCTAAATAATCACATTTCCTCCCTTGATTATAATAGGCAACTGATATTTTGTTTTTAGTTTATCTCCTATTTCCATCAGTACTGAATATCATAAACTTTGTTTTCATCAGAGAAAAAGATTTTTGACCAGTCATTAACTAAGATCATCTTTTTAGAAGGCTTTCAAATTTCTTGCGGATATCAGCGGTTTCTTAACTGGATGGCAACCATACAGATTATTTTGTCATAAATAACTTAAAGATGTATTGTTTGTAACATGAAACTGATGCATAATTGAATTGAGTTTGACAACAGTCTTGCAAGGATTATTCTTAGAATACCTTAGATTATTCTTAGAATAATATATTAGCCTTATTCAGCAGTAAC